TTAGGTTTTCCTTTTTAGAATTTCATTCTTTCATGAGGCTTTTTTATTATGATATCAGGACAGTTGTAATCACCCTAACATTTATGACTTTATGCCCACCCAAAATAATAAAAAAGACTTTTTATAGAGATGGTGTATACAGGTCATTTTATGTGTGAATTGCATTTGTTATTGAAATTAACTATATAGCCAAATGTATGTGAAATGAAGTCCAATGAGAACAAGGCAGCTGTTCACAAAAGCACAGTGCAATGATTTACTACTGTATGAGTGAGGACAAGGGCATACCTGCAATAAATAACCCCAACTCACCTGGAAGCAGTTGACTTTATCTTGTGCAGAACTAGGCAAGGAGTTCTGTTTGCGTGTCTTGAGCTCATTTAGGACCAGCTCCCCCTTCTGGTTATTCATGAGTTCATCAATGACCCCCATGACAAAAACACCTTCCTGCACACCAAACACAGGAAACTCTCGCACAGGTTCTCCTGAAACAAGATATTTGAAAATGAAATGTTTAAAACTGATCTGAGTGCAAAAACAACACCTAACTATATTAAAATTGTCAACTCACCTGCTTCCAACAGCGGTATCATGTGCTACATATTGAGAAGTTTGATGGCTTCTGCATCTTCTCTAGTCCAGACATCTACCGGGACAGCGTCCTGAATCTCCTGTTCTGGAGATGAAAGTCATGGACCGGATTACTGAACATGAACAAGATATTATGCTGCACTATATTCAAATGTGTATTATAAACATCAGTGTTCACCTCTTGATAAATTAATTTATTTTCCGATCTGCACCTCAGCACGTTGCATTTCCTTTCTCTTGACAAATGGCTTTAAAAGACTGTAAACAGTCTTCATCTCACACCAAGACTGGTCACACAGGAGGGTCACACTCAGATGCAGCTTGAAGAAGCGTTGCATTGGGCTGAAGCTGTTTCCATGGAGGTTCTTTCTCTTTAAACCCCTCACATTTTCTGTTTTTACTGTTTCTCGTCCCAAAGCCTCTTCATTCCTGCCAATAAAAATGACAAAAGCATTGTCATTGCATATGCTGGTTTTTTCAACAGGGTGCTAAATAGAAGAACAATGTCAAGTGACAAAAGCAAAGAAATAACAAATGCTGCAGTTCAGCAGAATAACTTGGATTCCATGTCTGCACACAATATCTAACAATTTTCCACTAAGCATCATCCAAACTACTTACTTGTGTACTGATGAGCTGGACGCACAGGGGCTATCAAAGTGTTCACCATCAGTTTCACTAGTACTGAGGCTGGTACTACTAACTAACACTGGGGCTCTCAAAAGACATAAAATACTTCTTTTATATGTATAATAAACATTAACTATGTACAAGTTGTCAGTGGAAAGATAGACAGGTAAAATGTACAGATAATAGCAGACAAACAAACACGACAGTGCCGGCCTGCCCTGACAGCCAGTAAAGTTCTTGTATTAATGAAACTTATACTAGCACTATATAGATTTTAAAACAATTGCCTTCATATTTAATCTGAACTGAAGGCCTTATTTGCAATACTGTATCTGTAATACTTACTCACACCTCTAGGGGACTCTCAAATCACAACTATTGACCAAAATTACACAATATTTTACCGATGCTTTGTTGCTCGGAAGGGATGTTGAGAAATTCCGAGTTCCTATTATCATCCCAGTCATCGAACAGTTGTTGTGATCCAGACACATCCATCTGAAAACGAAACTAAATAAACTCTCGAACCATTCTAATCTTTACATCAATGTTTCAGGAACATAATTGTTTGCATTATTTGGCATACGACATGCTCGAA